AACAAACATATTTACAAATTGTTTTGCTACCATTACTCAGGGGCTGGAGGGAGGGGGAGGTAGATGGTACTGATAACGTATCGATTGACCGCCTATCGGTACATCAACGAAACGAAACGCATCAAACCCGATACGTTTCGATACCTGTACCTATGTGGTTACAGTTTGTGGTTTATTTTGGTGGCCGTTGATGGTTATTATGAGTACAAGTTACTTATGAGTCATTTCGCAAAGTAGTCTTGTTAGTGTGTGGTCGGAAGTAGGAGGTATTGGACTCGAGCTCGTGGTTCTTGGAACTTTCGTTTTTTTGTGAAGTAGGAAGCAAACAAGGCGACGGATCACCTGATGGTAGGTGTGCTCCATAGTCGCTTACCACCAGACGAGATTTTTTTATATATATTTATTTTTTTAAAACATTGCTTCACACTAGGATTTCCTCCCGTGTCGTGGGTACGTTTTCAAACATACAAGTTCACATACACAATGACACCCAGACCCGAAACAACTATTTGAGGATCACACAAAGCGTGCTGTAATCGAATTCGCTACACGTTGCGCGGCAGCTAGTAGCCCAGCCACCGCGCCAACCGTGCAGTTGTGCAAAGATGGTGACCAAACGTTAACCTATCAAGTATAAAAAAAGTGATCACTACCGCAATGTTGCAATGGACACCCACAACTACAGAGGAGTTAAAAATCCATTGCCAATCTTTAAGGTGGAAGGAGACACTCCAGTAACGACTCTCATGCAGCGAAACACAACTCAAGTAATGTTTTACACTTGCTTTAGTTAAAACTGTGGTATCACTTCAGTCATGTTCGGAACTCGAGGCAACTTAATTGACCCTTTCCTTTAAAAATTCAATTAAACCACACCACATAATAGTTTCCAGCCTAGAAATCATTCATTTTATCAAATCGCTACCGACAGAGAGATTTCCGTATTATGGTAACTAAAACTATAATTTTAAAACAATAAAATAATACATTGATGCTCAAAACACAGACAACAAGGTTGCAATTAAAAGTCATTATGTAAATTTAATTTTATACAATTGTAACCAGCACTTTGATGATATAGAGATAAAAATTATGAATACAGTAGCTCACTGAGATAAACATCTAGATGGACAGACACATTGGGAAGAAGAGAAATATAAAAAAATAATAAAATCACCATCTTGTATGAATTTTCGACACGATTGTGAAGCTGCCATTTGCGAATTTAACTTAGATCTTGAGGTTGTTTAAACTATCTTTTGCTATCATTGTGTCTGTGTCGTTTTATTGATATTTTTGTATATTTCGATTTTTATCTGCCAATTTGTGACAAATAAAATTAGCAATACAATAGGTTGTTGGTCTGTTATCAAACTAGCTAATCTAACGTTTGTATTTTTGTTTGAACTCGCAAAAATAAATGTTTCAATCGCATTGACATTAATTATTGTAAAACTATATTACAAGGAAAGAAATATTAATAAAAACAAATGCGGGAAACTACAGACGAATGTAGATGTAATATTATGTTTATCACTACTATTCCATTTTATCTCATTGGCAAACTGTTCAGAAACTTTGTCTAACGTATCTTTTCTATTAATTTGATTTCTAATGCCTCGATTTCTGCAAAGCTTGACAAAGTCTTTAGGTTTGGCCAAACGTTGTTTATTCTACTTTTCTATTCACTCATTCCTGTACCGTTTCAATGCCATTAATCTATGGGTCATTAAACTGACAAACATCATGACTTCTACCACCACAAAAATGGCGTCAAAAGCCACAAAAATTTCACACAACAAAATCAAAGGGGTCTCAAAAATTCCTTGCCCACATGACGGCCGCCACATTAAGAATCCATTAACTTGGTCCAATACTGATTAATGTGTTATCTCTTCTTATCACTAGGACCGAAGCGGGTTGATTTATTCTGGGACTTATCAACATGTGCCTGGCGCCAACCGACTATCGGTCTGGGCTTTCTTTTATGAATTTTCGACGAGATATGATGTACTTAGCGGTCTCTGTTTGATTTGTGTTTTTGATGCCCTGGTTTTATATGGGATATAGTTTTATTTGGGTGTAGATTTGTTCTTGTGTAGGCAGTTTAACTGTTGAAAGATTTCAAAATTGTTGGGAAAGCAGTTTTGTCAGCTGTTGGTGGACATTGGAGTTTTTCATAAATACCCACTAAATCGGAAGACATTATTCAGTAATCACTGAAATCTGTACGTGTTCCTAGTATACGTAATTGTTGTTTTTAATCAATCATTCTTTAAATCGATTTTTATATGTAAAGTAGCCGGGTTTTTTTGTTATATATTTATTTATTTAGAGTCTTTGACATAAAGACCATGTCAGACCCATCATTCTCTTACCCGAGAAAATAAAAGAATGAATATACCTGAAACCAAACCAAAATCTACTAAAAAAAAATCCATAATTTAAAACAAACATTAAAAGTTTTTGCTCATTGTACAAACAGTTGTACATTTATCCGTATACGGTACAAGTGCGCGTACGCAGTTTAATAGCAGTCTAAGATTCGGTGCTGATCCCGCGATAGCTACCAAGGTTATGATTTACTAGATACGGACGCAGGTGGCTGAACGGTAGTGATGTGAAATATTGGGACTGCATGCAGTTTCCCGGGATTTCTTTTACATTATTTTTTCATTACATATCTTTTTTATTTAAGAAGTTAGTGTTTGTGGTGGCCTTAAAATATATATATTCACTTTATTGAAGTAGTATTGCGACTTTGATAGAAGAGGGTTAAACCTGTATACGAGAAAAAAAGCATTCGGATTTTGTGCTATCAATGAAAATTCTTGAACTAAAAAATCCAACTATCCTCCTTATTACTTAATTTCCTCTTCAGATCCTTCCCTACTCTTATTTATCACCAATGAGAAACTACCCATTATATATATTGTCCCGTACGTACACAGCCACCACTACACTCACACAAGGACGACGCTTGTGTGCGATCCCCGTCTCAGATTGCGTTTATCGGACATCTCGTATGCAACGTTAATTTACATAAAAACTATTATTTTTTCGACCATACGTTTATCTTTTATCATCGATTAAGTTTTTGTTGTTCTCCCTGCCTTAATAAGTCTTGGTTTTTGCATTTATTTTTGTATTTTTGCTGTGTTTTTCTTATAATTAGATTTAAAATTCGTAATAGAGGTTTCAGACTCCTAGACTAATCTGACAAAATCATCAGACAATTTGATTCCTTTTTTCAGTTGACTTAAATAACATAGAATATTCTTCCATCTACTACTTTTGTTGGATACAAGATTAGTAACAAAATAATGATGATGTCATTCAGACATAATATGGTGACATAGTATTCTGAGGCAATCCTTTATAAAATAACTAAAATTGTATTTCTAGGAATTTAACATAACAACATAACATCACGCCTTTTATCCCCAAAGAGATAGGCAGAGGTGCACACAGAAGTAACACCCACTTTTCACTATTTATGTTATGAGTCCCATGTAATAGGGGGTGAGCCTATTGCCATATACCGGGCGCATTTCCAGACTCCGTGCTACCTACTACTAAGATTTTTTTTAAAAACCTAGTAATACTTTGCCCGTCCCGGGAATCAAACCCGAGACCCCTTGCCTGATAGTTGCACTTGCGACCACTCGGCCAACGAGGAATTTCTAGTTAGAATAACAATTTGGTTTAAACCAGTGACTCGCTTTAGTTCTTCTGACGAATGGTTTAATCATGCCTATTCAAATTTCAGCCCTTTCCTTCGCACTTTTCTATCTCCTATTTTTTAATAATTTCAATAGATACCACTACTAGCAGCAACAAAGCTTATAATGTAACTATTTCATTTTCATCATCTCCTCGCATGGTGAACATGTTTTGATGGTACCCTAAAACTAGATGATGAGATGGGATGGGATAAAATCTCAACAAAATGAACAAGACGTATGCACTCTGCTTGACCTATTTAGTTATAGATGTATCGTTAAGATTTTGGACAGGTTTCGTCAAAGTCACCTTTTGACCGTCATATGTGATCATAATATGTATTCTAATCCTTATCTATATAGCCATCTATGTATACTTATTTAGTTAATCTTTTAAACGTTTGTCTACATTGTGGTTCAATTCTTTTAAGAGCTTCCATCTCAGCAATGTTTCCAACATCACCAGAAATGCTTTAAATATCATTATTAATGAAACATCGGGTTCGATAGTAGTAGCACGGAGTCTGGAATTGTGCCCGGTATACGGCAATAGGCTCACCCCCTATTACATGGGACTCATAACATAAATAGTGAAAAGTGGGTGTTACATTGTACAGTGGCATAATGTGCACATCTGCCTACCCCTTAGGGGATAAAAGACGTGATGTTATGTTATGTTATGTATTAATGAGATATTTTTCTTTTCTTTACAGGTAAGTCGCATTGGAGTCCATCTTCAAAGTTAGAGAAGTATTCGATCGAAGTGTCAATCGATTAACGTGATCAACAGATTACGTTTATGTGCAAATCATCCTTAAATCGGTAATTAATTAAATAGTAAATTACAATACAACCAATATTTATCAAACATGATCTTGTCGATGATTGATCAGCTGCAAAAAAATCGCAATTAACTTGAGATTTTTGCAAAATGGGCAAAAACTGGTCGTTTCTAACATTAAAAAAGGTCACAACTTCCACATTTCCAAGATCTCATAACGAATTCTCGAAATCACAAACCTTGTCCGACTTCCGACATCGCGGGGTATCAAAAAATCGCCGCTAGACCGACGTGTATGGTGCGCAAGCTTTTTTATTTGACATTTTATACAAGTTTATTCAAAGAGCGATAATATCGCTGACTCTTATCTTTCAATGCAACGTTACCGCGAGCCCGGAGTGATAGCATCTGGGGCCAGCCATTGCTAGTTAAACCAACCTGATAAGGGATCGGCTGCGTCTGTGTGCGGCCGTGTGCGGACGAGAGCGCGCGTGTGTGCGGGGAGGGGCGTTCGGTTCGCCAGGCCAGTCACTCACTTTACGCGGCAAAAGTATGACGGTTGGAATGTCGCGCGGACAAATATACACAAAATAAATACCAAAAATAGTGCTGTGTTGTGGATATTATGTTATTGTGGTTGCGGTATCTGAAGCAGCTGGAAGTGGCGGCCGGGGACCCGCCGCCAGGTGGCGCTGTCGACTTCAAAACAATGTGTAAGATTTGTTTACATATCAAACGGCGCGACTAAATGTTTATATCGCTTTTGTTTTTCTCACAATTTCTTAAATACTCTCTTTTATGTGAATCCTGATAATAGCATTCCATTCGAGTCTTCTTAAGCTGGCTTCTTGTCTATTCAATCTGCGATGGGTATCAATGATATATCTGAAGAATAGATACTGGTGCCGATTAAAGACATCTATCTTGACCGTACTGAATGAAATGTTGTATCAAATAAGAATAACTGTTGTTACTAACTCACGTAGTTATCGTTATCTATTAAACTTTGACATTTTAGCCATTGCCTAATGTTTGGAACCAAGTGAATATCTACTTCACTTAGTGTTGTGAATGTATTTACCTACAAGGTAGACTGAACTAAGGGATACTGATTCGTCTGCCTACGTATTGTAGACATAAAATAATGCGTTTGTTAATTTGTTAAAAACATAAGTCACTTCTAGTCAATGAGGGATAGGAGTTTGCATGTTGTTTAGAGTTAAAAACATTTGGTACTCACCTAACCAACGATAACAAATATAGAGAATAAATGTCGACAAAGACATCTTGTCAATAAATAGACTTTAAATGACAGGATCAGCTGATGTTATACATAAGTGAGTACATAAAGACATTGTTATTTTTACGTTATTTTAAGTCTATCTTGTGAATAATATGCAACTTATAAAATCACACATAAATTGACTGCCTCTTTGGTCGAGTGGTCGCAAGTGTGACTGCCGAGCAAGGGGCCTCGGGTTCGATTCACGGGTCGGGCAAAGTATTATTGGGTTTTTAAAAATCTCAGTAGTAGCACGGAGTCTGGAATTGTGCCCGGTATATGGCAATAGACTCACCCCCTTTTACATTGCACTTATAACATAAATAGTGAAAAGTGGGTGTTACATTGTACAGTGGTATTAAGTGCCGTAATGTGCACCTCTGCGTACCCCTTTGAGGATAAAAAGGCGTGATGTTATGTTATAAAATCCCATGTAAAAACACAAAAACCAAAAATCCGACCAAGTCGTCCAAGTCGAGCCAAAAATCAAAACAAATAAATAAATTTTGGACACAAAGATATAGTGTATGATAGCGTTTTCCTCAGAATTTTGCGATAACAACATCGTTAAGATTGGTCGCTTCTTTATCTCTTCTCTGATAGCCTTAACAGTGATACTAATGTATTATATAGGATTTTTATTGCTCTTTAGATACAATATCAGGGCATAAGCGAATGTAAATCATTGATAAAACGTAATTACTCTGTGGTACTTAGATTTTCAGGGTTTTGAACCGAATTTTGAACCGGTTAGAGGTATTTTATACTGATTTGTGATAGTATTTGGATTGAATTTACTTTAGATGGTTAGTTTTTGACGGTGTGTGCCCAAAAACTGACTTTAGAAAGTTTTTATAAGTTGTTTTGTTGCGATCAAACCCTGAAATTTACCAGAAATAGCATATAATTGAACTTGGCAGTCATTTAAAATAAATATTAAACATTACACTCAATTCAAACTACCTTCACCTACTAGTAACCAACCTGACATACAAAATAAAAAATACTTTTAACCATACAATAGTGATGTGAAATTAAAATATCGATATAAATCTTAATCCGATACCAAATCACACGCAACGGCACCGAATCCATTTTTAAATACCGAACTCGTGAGGCATGTTCCTATTTTGACAGCTCCTGTCAATGTCAACTGCGTCTAAATAGTTTGTATATGTTTCGTCTAAGTTATATCTTGATGCTTCATCGATATAACTCGATGCAACTGTCTGTATTAGTTTTGAATTTGAAATTAAAGAATTATTTTTTTATTTTGTATCTTGTAATGTATGTATTGTCGTTATACTCAACACCCAGCTTTTATATAATCAGATATTTAAATTTAATAACGATTTCATTCTAACTTCAGAGACTTATGTACGGAAAAATGAACAAATCGGTTAAGAGAGCCTCATTTTTTCACATTCAACAGCTGCTACTGTTCATAATAGGCCATTGAATATTTCAAAAAACAAAAAAAACATACCGTCACTTAGACAATCGGGAGTTTACGATAAAAATGACGTGTGTTCCTCTCAATGGACCCAGACTCCCGATCTCACTGATAAGGTGAGAGAGAAATGTTATCTCCACTCTGATTCCACGTTCATTATCAAATTGTGGGGGCTGTGTGTGAGGGAGATAGAAAATATGTGTGAAGGAGATAGAAAATGTTAATGTGTGCGTTCTATGCGATAAAGAGGGGTGTGAGGTTGTCTTTTTTATTCCTAAGGGGATTTTTAAAAGTCATAGTTTTAGAGTATTTATGATAGTTTAGCGTCTATTTTGTCTATTGAACAACCCTTTATATGGCTGTTACTGTTATTCTGATATAACATAAATGTCAAATTTTGACATTTCGGAAAAAAAAGATAACACGATTAAAATCGATACATCGTTTTATGACGTAATGAGTGTTCACCTCATAAAAATTGTTAATTTTCTTTTTTCGAAATTGGGTACTTATCTGCACAATGTCCAGGGCCTCCAATAATAGAAACAATAAAAAATAATATAATCTAATACTTTTTATCTTAATGACTTTTTTGGCCCTCCCATTATTTTTTATTACAATTAACAAGTCAAAGTGTGAATTAAAGTAAATAGTAACGGACGATTCTCGAACTAATTAACATATGAACATAATTGTATCTAATTAGGCAAATATAAATGGAGAAAAACATACATAACTGAGATATTTGTTTGAAGAAAAAAAAGACGAGAGCCTATTTTTATAATATAAAACATACGAAAACAAAAGTCAGTGTTGACAAGCAAAAAATAAATCAATACGATTTATCGATGAAAAACGACCTTTTAAAACGACACTATCAGAAAATAAAGATAAAATAAATTTAATTAAATTATTTATCATTGCAAAATCAATAAGATAAAATTTGCTAATAATCTGATTTGATTAATCAAATTACTGCATACATACAAGTTTTGATAAATGATTAATTAATTAGTATAAATCGATTTGCATATATGTACGTAACAAACTTAATATAGATTTTAGTCATAACAATTTGTGAAACAGCTGTTAGTAGCGACGCCATATTGGATTTATGATGACGTATGAAGCTGTAGGCGCTAGGGACGCCCATTTATAGATATCGATACAAATTTTTTGGTCTCCATGTATCAATTAGGCAATTCTTATCAGTACTGGAAGTATGTATTTCCTCTGAGATAAGAGTTCTGGTAATGATATTAACTTTGTTTACTTTTAATTAGCGAAATATCTAACAGTGTAATTAATTTTATCGTGTCCTCGGATAAGAAATGAAAGAATGTTCACTATGTTTTCAGAACACAGAATTACGTTTTTGTAAACATATAGTTGTTTGTAAATAGTTAATTGTTATTCCTAGAATGATGTATCCGTTTAACCCATTTAAGAAAAATATATTATGAGTATATCGCAATATATTTTTTTGCTTATACAATGTAGAATTATCATCATAATATTTAAATTATCTACTTGATTAATGTTTTTGATGACATTCTTGCCTTAGTGATGTGTTGCAATTCGGTTTTTGCAAATGAAAACAGAAATAAACATGATGTTAAGCGTCCATGGGTGGCGCTGGTGGCTGCTTACCATCAGGAGAATTAGTCTCATCGTTTACTTTACTTTCAACCCATAAAAAAACTTTTAGCCAACATCTAAATTCATAAGTTGATTTTTTTATGGGATACGCTGGTAAACGAGCCGACGGATCACCTGATGTTAAGCAATCGGCGTCGTCGCCCATGGACACCTGAAAACCAGAGGCGTGACAAGTGCGTTAAGGGCCTTTTGGGGTTAAGGAATTTGAGGATTGCTGGGAATTCAGTCGATTAGGGAGATTGGGAAAGGGGAGTGGTAATTAGGCCTCCTGTAACCTCATTCACATGACCAAATACAACGCAAGCTGTTTTCTGTGAGGCCGTGGTATCACTCCGGTCGAGCCGGCCCATTTGTGCCGAAACATGGCTCTCCCACTGTTCAATAAATCCACAGATTAATAAATTACTCTGAAAAGAAACAGATCTTACTTTTAAAATCGCCTAATTTAACATGAGAAACTCATTTCAATGTTAGAACAATAAAAATTCCGAATATGGACACTTGAACAGATTAATTATGAATTAAATTAATTCCGACAACAATGCCCTTGTTTATTTTTCGAAATACCTACATTTTTTTCCACCGAAATAATAAAATTATCTAACGAAAACATCGGCCGGCCGGGGAATCGAAGCCGTTATCGTGAGCTTAAATCTACACTCCTGCGCTGTTGTTATCTAAGTGATCTCCTTTTGTAAGCACCTTGGAGGTTTGTGGTCCAAAATGTAGCTAGTATTATTATTGCTCTTTTAAAACTTACATTCAAAACATTAAAGTACTAATGATTCATAAAACTATTTTAGACCTACTTATGGTATTATTTCGTCTCATTTTTATTTGTTTGAAGTTGTCTCTCCCTCGTTTTACAGAGGTTTGTAGAGACAGAATTTTACTAAAGTGCGACTTATAATTGAGTAGCGTTAGAGTAGGACATTAGGGCTGATTTTTCCAACTTCAGTGAAATTTAATAGGGGGAATCAATAATATTGAATTTTCGACAATTCATTCATCTATTCACATACCTCTATAATGGAATCGTAGAAAAGTCTATCAGTAAGTGATCTACAATCCGTACTGAAGCGAAACATATAATTTTTAGAATTTTTGTCTGTTTGTCTGTATGTATGTCCGGGATGATCTCAAAAAGTACTGCATGGATTTACTTCATATTTTGCATGAATATTCCTGACAAGTTGGGTCAACATATAGGCTACATATTATTACGCTACCATCTACGGGGGAGGAGCCATATACTAGGTACTGAATCAATTCTGACGACATTCGTTACCGTAGAATATCCATTGTTAAAAACTAATTCA